CCGAGGACTTCTGGATTAGTTTTAATGCTGTAAGGGAACAAGTCAAAGTAAGAACACCACAAGAAGGTCACAGAACATGTCTGCATTACAAGTAATTAAAGCGACACTAACTATACCTACAAAAAGTACTAAAACAAGTGCAACCCCAACAAACGGCCAGACTTTTTATAAAAAAAAAATTTAAAAAAAAAAAAAAAGTGGCGCTTAAGGTATAAGCTAAAATTTAAAGAGCACAAAAGCAGGCAAAGTTTAACAAATTACAACCACAATAAAAGGAAAAAAAGGGGGGATTTTAAAAATATTTAAAATCTTTTAAATATTTTTCCACAAACAAGCCCCATTAGACTGAAGCAAGCAGCCCAGCAAAAATGTGGAGAACCTCGCAAGCAAAGCAGTCTGAAAAAAAATAAAATAAAAGTGTTAACATCGTTAATATTGACTTAAATTCAATGCACCAGTGACCAACCATCCCTAAAGCTTTTTAAAAGTGCACATTGCCAAAGACTTTTGTTCCCTAATTTCAAACCGCTACATAACTAAAGCATAACTGGCTTTTGAGATGCACCTGCAGGTGACGGACACTGCCTTCTGTTCGGTTCCTTACCAATTAGTATACCTAACACCGGTTGATCAAAGGCTACATTGATCCATGGCTGTATTATCCATAATGTGGTTGTAACCTGCTAAATTCAGGAGTTATAGTTCAGGTTTCAATTAGATAAGTCCACTTAAACATTCTCCACATTTCCAAAGGAAAGTGCAAATGAAGCTAAAAGAGCTTGGAACTCTCCAGCATTCACCTGAATAAAATTCACGTTAAAAAGTCAGCTACAAGCGGACTGCCATTAAGGTACTACCATTAAGGTATGCCATTGTGTTGGCAGACTTTGGCCTTCATAAGAGATAATAATAATAATAATAATAATAATAATAATAATAATAATACTGCACGCTAATCAACAGGTGAACGCTCTTGGTTCTTTAAACTCAAACACAAAACCCATGGTTACCATCTAAAAACTGACGTTTTGCAATAGTCAAACAAAGCTCACTTTGAAAGTGCAAGCTGTAACTTCTTACCTTCAGATGGTCAACCAGATACTGCTGGGCTTGGATTAAAGTGCTTTTACTTGCATCAGGGCTTCTTGAAGAACCTGGAAAAATAAAGAGATCGAGATAGAAACTCATAACTTGTCAGAAATGCAATTTGATGGGTTGCAGTTGGTAGCGATGATCCAAATGAACTATTCTGCCTTCACCTTAAAGCGGTTGACTCCGTAATGAGACCAATATGCCAGATGTTGTAAACATACAAGGGACACAGGTTAGTCTTCGGTTCAAGAGGGACTTCTCATCTAGGCAGCTCCTGGAGAATATTCCTATGCCCTTGCCAGTACCGGATTGTAACAAAATGATTAAAATAACTCCTTTTAAAAGAAACAATATTGAGGCTTGTGTCAATGAGGTACAACTCGGAGTTGTAGCATTTAGCCATTTAAAGATCAAACAAGGCTAGAAGGGCTTAGAACTCTTGCATGAGCCACATCAATGTGTATGGCAAAGCCAACAAGTGGACATCAATCCTTAAGGAGAACAGTACATCCAGCTCCATATCCAGCTTACCTAGAAAACAAAACACCACAAACTTTATTTGTAATTGCATGAGAACCAAGACTGTTGTACAGAGGAGTATTTTTCAAAGTTTTAGCAACAAGCACACCTGCTCTACAACACCTCCTTCCAAGCTTTGAAGTTGATAGAGGGTGGCGTCACTTAAGGCGCTTTTCCACTGCGTGGTACGACTCGGCACGGTTTGCGTTTCAACTGCAGTTCAGTACCGCTTCAGAGTGGGCGGGATTATTTACATGTCATTATATTTGCGCCGCGTCTACTACCACGATTCCTTAAAAAAAAAATTTTTTTTTTAAATTCCGCGTCGCCCCATCAAGCTCTCGCTGGATCCGCTCCTCTATCAACGAGAGGAACGTCTGTTCTTCCGCAACCGACAACTTTTGGGTTGTTAAAAAGGTGCGCTCGTTCAAAACGGTTGCGTTCTAGCGGTTCTGTTGTGTTTGTGGCGCAAGTTCAATGACGCAGGTAGTGACGATTCTCTCCGGCCAATCCGTGATCAGCAGAGTTTACACATCACGTTTTGGTAACTGTACGGATCACTTGGAAACCCAACCGAGGTGGTACTAAAATAAAAATAAAAAAAATTTACAAAAAGTACCCCAGTGTAACCCAGTGAAAAACCCCCAAAAAGTGAACCGTACCATGCAGTGGAAAAAGCGCCATTAGTCCTTTTTTCAAATCTAGGGCCCAAGTCAAAGCCCAAGATAAGCAGAGTATAACTACTGACTTCCGAAAACTGTTTCATTACCAACATAGTTTACCCAAAATGACTTTTCACTTACTAGTGAAGTTGTCCAACTCGTTTGAGTTTCTTCTGAATACAAGACATTTTGAACAATCACTTCAACAGTGCAACACAGATTAACCATCTTTATAGTTCTTCCTTGTGCACATTGCTAGAAAGACTTGCAGCTGCTTACCTAACCCCAACTCCTCAGTTTGGGGCACACCTATACATCTGATATCTGCACTTAAGTGGCAGTGAACCCATACAAACAGACAACGGACCACCTTCTGTTTGCCTCTTTACAAGTCTATGTTCAAAAGTAATACTCCTAGTATTATAGAAGCAGAGGTGGTACTGAACCAGTATGCACACTGAAGACCAGGGCCCGCATTCACAAATCATTCTTACCACTAAGAGTTCTCTAAGTGCTAAGTGTCACCAATTAAACAAGTATACATTCAGTTATTTATCAGCCTCTTACATGTGCTTCTCAAACAATTAGCAGATATGCATATAAACCACCTTTTAATTACCAGTAGAATAATCATGGCCGATAGTAAGGTGTAAACGTAAAAGAAAAACCAAACTGGACTCAACAGCTGCTACTTCTTGCCCAACTTGTTAATGAAAACAACAGTCATAATACCCTTGTGATTAAGACAACACCTTTTTAAAAGCGCAGTCAAACTTTTCTAAAATGTTTCTGTTCTAAGGCAAATTGCCGTCAACAGCCATTTTAGGATAGTTTGTGGCTTGGTCTTAGTGACTTAAGAGTCCTCTTCACTACTCCTAACCTTTCACAGATTTAAGAGCAAGTTTTAGTGCTAAAACGCTTTGTGAAATACTCTGAGCAAAAAATGTATGGGTCCTAAATTTAGGTCTGACAAGCCCATTATTTCTTAAGATTTACTCCTAAATCGCCAAGTTCTGAACTACTTTTAGTCTTAAAATGTTGTGAATACGGGACCAGTAGTCAAAGTTGAGTTTCAATCAGTTCAGTGAAGGTAAGCTCTCCACATTTCCAAAGGCCAAAAAAAAAAAAAAAAAAAAAAAAAAAAAAAAAAAAAAAAAAAAAAAAAAAAAAAAAAAAAAAAAAAAAAAAAAAACCCCCCAACCAAAAAAAAAAAAAAAAAAAAAAAAAAAAAAAAAAAAAAAAAAAAGAAAAGTTAGAAGATCCAGCTTTGATCCAACTTAGAAACAAGTACTTTTAGGTACAAGCAGGGGAAAAAGTAAAATTACCCACCACATACACGTCACTATGAAAAGTTCTGACACCGTAACAGTACTGAGTTCTGGCCACATCTGAAGACTGTATTTAGTTTAGAGACCACGCTTTACAGGAAACAAATACCTTAAAAGTCCCATTTAGATTAAATAACTACATTAGCAGCCACACCAGACATTAACTTATAATTAAAAGCAGACACTGCAGTTTTAAATGTGCAAGCTCTTTAAAAGTTAGTTGTTGCAGGTCACAGGTGTGTCCCAATGGGCTGTCATCAAGACAGGATAGCAGCACGCTGATCTCAGTTGTTGCATTTTGAAGTTACAACCAAAGACGCACACAAACAAAACCACATAACTTATAATTAAAAGCAGACACTGCAGTTTTAAATGTGCAAGCTCTTTAAAAGTTAGTTGTTGCAGGTCACAGGTGTGTCCCAATGGGCTGTCATCAAGACAGGATAGCAGCACGCTGATCTCAGTTGTTGCATTTTGAAGTTACAACCAAAGACGCACACAAACAAAACCACAAATAATAATAATAATAATAATAATAATAATAATAATAATAATAATAATAATAATAATAATAATAATAATAATAATAATAATAATAATAATAATAATAATAATAATAATAAATAGAACAGCTCTGATGTTTGTCTGTACAATAACTGAAACAAGATCTCAATCACTAAAACTAAATGGACTCCCCATAGTCTCACATGCATTTATAACACACATACTCACTGTCCACAATGGCTGCACTTAAGGTAATTCAGGTGGTTGAGGAAGGTGAAAGTCTGTCAGAGCACAGAGGGAGTTGCGGTGTTGTGCAGATCTCCATGTCTCAGTCAAAACCAAATGTGGTGCTTTGTCTGAGTGGAAAGGTGAAGTTAGCGTTAACAGCCAACCAGCAGCTGCACAGTTGGTCTATGGGTGCAGTTATACTGCTGTATTTGGTAAACAGGGATGTATTGAAGACACATGGTGAGAACATTCACCCTCCTTGACGAGCTTCAACAGATTCAAGGTGTTCATCAGAAAGGAAATACTGCTTCCAAAGCTAGACTGGTTGACAACAGACTTTACCTTGGTCCAAAGGTCAAGCATACCATTTGAGAGCAAGAGGCTGGAGGGTGTTGCATGAGTTGACCTGTTGGTGCAGGGACCGATATGGTCAAGGAAGAAAAATTAAAATGGAGAAGCTACCAATACTTACAGCATCATCTTAGTAGGTGGTTAAATTGCACAGAACTTACCAACTGCCACCAAGTCAACAGAATTGACCGCATCAAGAAATGCATTTTGGCATTAGGAAGTCATGGGATGATACTTAACCTGCCCAGTTGAGTGAGAAGTATGGGAGAAAGGTCCATAGAGGGCGAATACAGTTGCAGTGCTATCTGGAGACCAATATTTGTCAAAGCCTGAATGTTGCGTTGTCACTGACTGGTAGAGATGAAAAGCAGGAATGACGACAGCTTTGTTGCTGGCTGCCCTACATAGTCACAGTCCAAAGGAGTGTGAAAGGCTATGGTTCAGTACCAAAACAGCACAGATATCGGAGAGAGCATTGGTCTACAGAAGCAGTTAGACTTCCTTAAACAGGAAATGAAAGAAACAGACAAAAGAAAGCGGGGTTAAAAGCTGCATTATAGACACTAACTTTCTCTATAAAGTTAGGAAACCAAGCATATACAAGGTGACACGGACCATCTATGCCACTTTGTTCATTCAGCTTGAAAGGGAAGGGAAAAAAAGAACCTAAAACTCGAACACTCCTTAGTTGTACATGGTACATTCAATATATAGTGGTGGCAGCACAGACAAAGCGGTTCAATATTGATAGATTCAGTATAGGGTCTAAAACCATGGTCACGTCAGTAATAGAATGCAAGAGTCATGCTGATGCTCACAGAAGGGAAAAAAAATAAAAAGTCTTGATAAAGACAAGACACGCGTGAAAACCAAAAGGCCATTAATGTACAACATGTAAAAGCCACAAAATTGTAATACAGCAAGACACTTGAACAATTTTACAGCAATAATCAAATTAGAACGGTCTTCACTTCAGAAATTATTTCACCTGTTGGTGCAAGGTTCCTCAAATTCAGATCTAACATCTCACAAATACAGAAACACGTCTTAACCTCACCAAACACCACAGTGAAGAAAACGGTTTCTCACACAATGCCTAGAAAGGCAAAGGATCTGAAAGAACAAACCAGTGCAGATTGTGAAACCCAGGACTTTCACAGTCAAGCAATAAGCTCTGTATTTGAGCTTTAAAAGTCTTACCATGCATTGTATAGTCACAGCCCATGACAATAAATTAGTGTTTGCAACTGTCTGAGGAATAATCCATTTAGAAGAGCTTGAATCACAGTTTGTCTATACATAAAACAATCATCAAGTTAAAAAGCAGAGGAAATGATTCTTACATTATATATATATATATATAATAATAATGGTGTGAAAATACCACAGATGAAGAGGAAAGACACGTATGAAACCAAACACTAGCTGAGCTTCTCATCTGATGCCATGTCTCTCTTGATGCAGATCAGCTGTCTTTCAATCATTCAATCAGCTGCATGCTTTCTTCCACCTTCAACAAGACTATTAACAAGAAAACAAAAAAAATCAACTCCTAATTGGCTCATAACACTTACTGGATATAGGTTTCCATTTATTAAAAAGAACCACCAAGCGAATCAACCAAGGTAAATAATCAAATAACAAATGAGGAGAAAAAAAAAAAAGACACTACCGTCCAAAGATTGAAGCATGCACATAATTTCAAGCATGACAATCTCTTTCTGCATCCTTACACTGTGACTGCTATCTCAAACTGATAAATCCAGCCTAGTCCAGCTAGTGTGCATTTATAGCGATGGGCAAAACCATTGACAGTGACGCAAGCTAACAGAAATTAATTCAATCAAATAACCAAACCTGAATTTATAAACTATATGCACTAATCAAACCATTATTATTTATCAGTCATGTATACAAATTGCATCATTGGTAAGGCACTCAAATGGCAAATTAACAAACAACCCATCCTTCATCCTCAGCACTTGGTTTCTCCCACCTCCCATAATGCACCACAGCACAGATATAAAAGTTCATTCCAGGAGTGCCTCTGCTTTTTCGTCTGGTTTGCAGTAGATTGGCACATTTTGGCTGGTTTTGATTATATTGTGCCGTTTTCCCCTAACACTCCTTGACTTTCCATGTTTAGGAAATGTGTTTATCTTATGAGGTTGTACAATTGTTGTTGAACAATTGATTGTTGTTGTACAATTAGCATTGCCAATCATCTGATTAAGAAATTAAATCATTTTTTAAGAAAAAATGCCATATGACCACCTAGACCAGGGGTTTTCAACCTGTGGGAGCACCAGCACCTGTCAAGGGGGGCGCCAGCATCAGTTAATTCAGAGACATTCCCTTGAGGATTTATGAATATGAGTTAGCAAATCTTTAGCCATCCACTAGGGGGCAATCTGACTCCCACTGCTAGTCGACAGTTAGAGCAGAGTTGGTTCGAGTATCAGTCACGCTTATTGACAGTGTAAGATGATTTACGGTTAGCCGTGTCGGAAATCCAACCACGGATTGGCATGTTGTTATCTCAGAAACAGGCTCAGCCATCACATTGAATCAGGTAAACTGGTTATATATTTATGTTTCAGTATAATTACGCACACTATACCAGGGGGCGGTTCTAAACCCTTTTTAGGTGGGTTTCAGCACCCCTATCTGTCACCTTAGCCCCCCAAAACTATCTTAACGATCAGGCCAGTGCTGCTTCCTCGAGAAAGTTTTTCATTCTCGCGTGTTTTAAGTCTTGTCAGTTTAAACATTAAAGTAATTTTAAACCATTTAAACCCAAGACAGCTCAAAGCGGCACTCACGCACTGTGATAAAGCGTTTCTATGCGCACCGCGCACACACCTGAAGTGCACAAACAGATAGCCTTCTCAGACAGCAGGTGAATACCAATGGCTGTCTTGACAAGTATCCTTGCAAGCACAGTCGGTTGTTTTAAGTGAATGTAAACAGTAAAGAAAATATCAGATGTACATCAGTATAACGGATCCGTGCATTTCTTATGTAAGTAATGTTAATCAAAAAGAGCAAAAGAAAAACCATTCGCTGCTTTAATAGCTTTAATGGATATTTGCTTTTATGTTAATGTTAATAAAGTAATTCGGTGTGACTACAGGGGGGGGGGCCGCATGTCCTAAAAGGTTGAAAACCTCTGACCTAGACCATACAAATAACTAACTCTAAATTGAGAATTAATCACTCTTTTTGGACAAGTGTTTGATTTGTGAATGAGAAAGGCTTTAAGAACAAGCGGAATGCTCTAAACAACGTGATTATTTTTCATGAGTCCAACGTCCAGCCACACAAGAAAACATGCATTTTACCTGAGGGAAGACGTGATTAATAAGGGAAGTCATCTTTCACTATTAATGTTGTTAAATAGATAAAACTATTTACATTAAGTTACTTCCAGCGTATTCTTAACCTTGGATCTCATTCTTAAAGCACTAAATGACCAATGAAGTGTCAAGCACCAAAAGCAGCCCATAATAATTCTATAAGTTCTCTTTAATTGAAAAATATGCATTTTCATACACACACACAAATAGACATTTTGCTACAATATACACTACTATTGAAAAGATTGGTGTCAGTAAATTTTTTTAAAGATATTAATACTTATATTCAGCAAGGATGTGTTAAATGTATAAAAAGTGATAATAAAACATATTGTTAGAAAAGATTTCTATTCTGAATAAATTATTTATTATTTGATAATTTTATAAAGCTCTTTATCCCCACTCTTAAATGCCTTGTGCTTCTCCCTCCATAATTTTTTTATTTCCTTATTAAACCATGGCTTATTATTATATATATATGGTAACAGCCTTAGAAGGTACACACATGCTGTTCTTTTTAACTTTTTATTATCAAAGAATCCTTGCAGATGGCGCTCTGTGGCGCGGCAGTCATTTGAACAGCGTCCTGAGTCGTAGCTGGGCGCCGCGGACAGACGCCGAATGGCACCGTCAGTGTGCGTACTCTCATAGAAAACAACGTGTTCAAATATTAAAGACGTGGCGCGACGCTGCGCTTCTCGTCCGGTGTGCGACCCCCTTAAGACTGGAGTAATGATGCTAAAAAATCAGCGCTGTGTCACAGAAATAAATTATATTTGAAAGTATATTAAAACGGGAAACAAATATTAGAAATTGCAATAATGTTTCACCATATTGCTGTTTTTTCTATATTCTGTATCAGATAAATACAGCCTTGATCAGCGTAATAGACTCTCTCTCTCTCTCTCTCTCTCTCTATATATATATATACTGTATATATAAAATGCATGTGTGTTTGTGTGCCTTATTTTTCTATGAAAAATCACGATTGTCCCTTATTTTCCCCAAGTTGACAACCCAATGTATAACATTCACTGCACCTTAAAACATCACACTCTTACTCGATCTGGATGAACTGTGTTGTTAGATTTAAAATTCTAGCTTCAACCACCGTTTATGATGAAACCCGGTTGCAGTGACTAATTTCTTCAGTTTTGTCAGGAGTGCAAAATAATCAATCTGTATTTTTTAACATTTTGACTAGAATAACGACACGCATTCATATTCTGTTAGGTCTGCTGCGGTTTATTTGTTCACATAGCTTCACTGAACAGCGTCCATTTGGGCTTTTAGTCCAAAAGTGCACATACGTAGAGAAATACTGATGTATTTATACATTTACTTAATATTTCTTCAGGCGGAATCATCATTTCTATTCATTTTCCACTGATTTACACGATCTGATGAGCATTAGCTGCTTCAAGGCGCCGTCTGCCTGTGTTTCTCTGACTCAAACCCATTCGCTGCTTACCTGTCACTCATATCATGTGTTCATAACCCGCCATGTCTCTTCCGATGACGAGCTTCCCCTACACTTCTGCACTGTATGTTTACAACAAACAAACCCAGAGTTTCTACACGTGAAGCATAAACTTAATAAGCACACAATTACTATAGTATATAATTTGTCTGTTTTATATTTCATAACAATAAAGGATGTTTATATGAGAAATGATGAGCTGGTGTAGTGATTAGATTGGTATAAAAAGGATATAAATAACATTTCAACAATGTTTAGTGACCAAAATCCACATTAGATCACAAATGTATGTTGTAATTACAAACACTGGAGGGTGGGTTGGAGGTAAAGCCCGATAGAGGTTTCTAGTGAGATTATACCAATAGTCCACACAGTGGCAGTATTGCATTGTATTTTTAGTCCAAGGGAAAGCGAGGAAACCCACAGTGTCCCCTTGTCCAAATACCCACACTTGCAGTCTTTGCACTTGACTACTCATATGCAGGGCCGCATTAAGACCTTACTAGGCCCCGGGGCTATGACTTACTGCAGGGCCCCCTATTACAAATATAATATATATATGGATTTAAATAGGATTTTTATCCTATTTTGATGCATTGAAATTTCATAATTCTTGTTTGACTTCCATAGTATGAAAAACAAAATACACTATTGGAGTCAATGGGGACCAGAAACTTTGTAGTTACGAACATTCTTCAAAATATCTTCTTTTATGTTGAGGAGAACAAAGAAATTAGCAGTGCTTCTAATTAAGTGATAAAAACCAGTTGCAAATGTTGTACCAAATAAATATCACCACTACTCATCTTACATTTGTGTTGGCATGAGCAGGGGTCTCATTTATAAAACTCTCTGTAGATTTCATCCTAAAAGTGTATGTATGCACAAAAGCTATTATTTATAAAACCAGGCGTACGCCAGAACCTGCGCAAAAATCCTTTTATAATTCCCAGTCAGGGGAAGATTGTGCGTGCGTGCATCTCCACCCCAACTCCTCCCAGAAATCACCAAATATGGAGCTTACGCCTAGTTTTACTATGCATAACCTCATCTGCATATCATTTCCATGCATATTCCCATCCACGTGACACCAAGTTTAACACCGTCAAAGGTACAAGACATTAAGGAAATATGAGATACAGACTATAAATGCCATTCATTGCATACACAATTTTTATTGCTAAAAATCATCCCATATCCTTATGTTTTAAAATAAATATATCAAAATATCCATAAAAACGGTTTAAAATTGTTCTCAGATAAATATTTTAGAATAGATTTAATCTTTCATTTCCACTGGCCAAATAGCCATAAATCTATACAGTTTTGATCATAAGGTGAACATCTTTTGGCTATTTTTAGTGGAAACAGATAGGCCTATATTTATTGAAGTGTAAATAAAACTGTCAACGTCACTGACAAAGTATTTTAAAAAGGAAACATGCAAATCTTACTGTTTTCTTCAAGTTGTATCTACAGTGGTATTTTTCATAATGTTGTGGAGATGCCTTCACACGACATTAACACCTCTGTGCAGCTGTGGTTGTACAGTAAGCTATTATCATTGGTCCTATTCAAACCGAACAATAGACCGTTCCACTGAATCCAGCAGTGTCCGCCACAATATTGAAGTGCGCATCATTGATCATTGTTCTCGCTAAAAATATTTTCTCATTACATGAGATCTGCAGTTTAATTTAAAGATGAACTATTGTGCACCTATAGCACTCCTTGCTGTCATTAAAACATAACATACCACAGGAAAAGTGATCAAGCGCATCCACTACAAATATGCGTAAACTTATGCGTAATGACTTTATGTAATTTCAGTGTTTATTTCCATTAATGAGAGTGGAATATTTAATGTAAATGTGTGTATCGACATGAAAACTGAGTTTAAAATCATCGTTTACTT